TTAGCACACATGCTTTTTATTTGGATGCAATGCTTTGATTAAAGTCGAACACAGGTGAGCTATAAAACCCGAAACGTCTCCACCAATTCATTTGAATCCTTGTTGAAGTGATCGAAACACACCATAACCAAATATCAACTTAAACAAAGGAGATGAGGAAATTTGTCAAAAATGTAAGAAAAACAAAATCCAAAATAGAATTCAAATATTATAATCTTATATGGAATCAAATGATCGTCGAAATATGCATCTGATGGAGTCAGGAGCAGTAGATCGTTATAATGTATACGTGGGGGATTTTCACACACTGAACGTTCAAGTAAGGGTTTATACAACATCAAAACCATCTTATTAGTTTGTCAGGATTACACTGTTAATCAAAATGACCAGCCCCACTAAGTATTGATCTCTATATTTTTATACCATCTGCAAATAAGTGTCGATAATATGAGTAGACTCGGTAATTCATTAACTCAGACAAGAAAAGAAGGAGAACTGATATTGAGTTTAAAAGCACATCACTTTTCGCTAGTTTTCAATCAGCTAGTGCCAAATACACCTTCATCCTCTGTATCAAACTTTTACATGACAGAGCTTTCCGAAAATATCCACAGGTTCTGCGCAAGCCCCAGGTAGGACAGATTATCAAAGGCCTCTGTAGAATGGACTGATATCCTGTCGTCAAACAAACCGTTATGATAGCTTCCCGGTAACTACCTCTCGTAATTAGTAAGCAGATCAAGCAAGAATGTTTGTCTTGAATACATGTTGTCCTTTAGTTGACATATTTACAAATTTGAACGAATCCTTTTTCAGTAATATCCTGACTGCTATGTCAGACTAATAGATTGGTTGTTGGGCTACGGTTCGGAAAATGAATTGTTGAACAGCATCGTGAATGATCCTGAAATTTCGTCGACGAGGAATGACAAAATTATGGACGTAATCCATCAGGACTTGGTGACTGATCAGTTCTAAGGTTAATGAGTGGTTGAGGGATCCTAATCCGCATGCACTGGTCCTATGACTAGTACCTCAGAAAAGCGGTTATAGTTGGTGTTTGTAAAAACATCCATTGTGTAGACCTCGCTGAGATGAATTTATCAAATCTTAGGTTCAATCATATGTCATTCAGATATTGAACGTAAAATTTTCTTCAACAATTATAGAGGAATTCCGTCAATATGTTCCGTTTTTGGCTTAATGTATGGAACAAATCACTGCGGACGAATACGGCTGTTGAGTGAAAGTGGTCTTCCGTTGGCACTTTGGCTTCCAGAAATGGCTGTTTCACATATAATTCAGATTTTTCACGGTCAAATGATGCGTGACCCATCGACTTAAAGGACACTCAGAAGTGTTTCATACACCATAGAAGCTTTAGATTTTCCCTGTCGGTTTACAGTGGGCAATCTGATATCTCACGCGTCGATCATGAGATAAACGGTATTATTATGACTTCTAATGTATCTTTAAAATGATTCCATTCGTCTTCGATCAATCAATCAACGTTGACCAACTAAGCTGTCAAGGTAGCACAGTCTCTCATCCACAGAATATTAGCCTTCCAGATACTGAAACGGAGTAGAGCAGTCTGTCGTATATCGTGTAGTTGAAACATAAAATATAATACCACTTGATCATTGTTCGCTAGTACGGTTAATAGCTGAATATCATTAACCTCATCACATTGGTCTGTAAACACGAGGCCTGGGAATGTTAGTCTATTTTCCAAGTCACAATGTGTCGGTCCTGCAATATTTTGTACAAGCGCTCACTGAATATTGGTTTATAGCAGGCTGTTGTTTTAAAATCAACATAACGTTGTAAGCTATATCCAGTTGATATGTGACTCCAAAGATAAAGCAACAATGACTCTTATTTCACGTTCAGATACGACTTAAGACAACGTGTTCAGTGAGACAACATGGACTGCATCGTTCGTCTGCTTTTATTAACCCGTTAACTGACCTTATCGTACGACAAGCTACCTCACACGTGCCACTTTCATGGACCTCCAATGTACTTGGTTGTACACGAATGTGAGCTTCAATACACTATTTTGTTCCTTCTCCCTTGGATTTATAACTATCACTCATGATACAGATGTGTTCTGCAGCAATTGCAGAACAATGTAGTTTCAGAGAAAACAATTACATCGAGAATTCATTCGTCCATCATAAAGATAGGCTCAAACGTTTCATCCTTAAGACTATAGAGGTTTGTGTAGCGCACAATTAGGGAATTTCAAGAATCTTTATTATATCCTATGGCCTCTTGCCCCATTTATTTATAACGTGATTTATCGACCGGACCAATGACGCATATACCCGCATGAGCAGTTTACATTTCTTATCGGTTCTGTTTCTTGTCTAGCACTTCTTGTTGAGTCCAGGACAACAATCTCAGCCTCCATGATATGAATCAGGTATTTCGAACATACTCCGTTTAGTGACTGATTTCGAACATTGGCAGGTGCTATAGGCATCAGGAGAGATTATATGTTTTTTAGATGGCCTTGACATTATTGGAAGTAATCTAAATGTAAAGTTTAATTAAGTGAACAGCGACAATTATAAGTTATTAGACGTGTAAAGTTCTAGAATAGGACCAGAACCAGTATTAGTGAAGAGCAAATACATTAACGTTAGTGAGCGAAAAGAGGTAGACAGCGTCAAAATTGGCAAAATTAATGGATGACGTTGAGTCCCAAAACGAGGTGTCGAGTTGATAGAACCCTATCAGTGATGAATTATTTATCGCTAATAAATGTTAAAGTAAAGGGAAAAACTAATAGGAAAATAAAATAATACCACGTGAAAAAAGTTACGACCTCAAAAAACCGCACAAAGACGTAGGGTATATATGTGACTCCTAAACGTGCTCCATTGTCGAGCTCAGATCACTGTATGTAGAATCCAAACTACGGTTTGGATAGATGAATAGCCGTCCAGGTACTTTAGACACGCGCCCTTGCCCGTCAAAATCAAAACAAGTAATCGGGTAAATAGCGGTTCTATAATTCACCATAAATTTAAATGTAAATCGTTACCTAAACAATTATTATCACCCGGCTATTCAACCAACAATTTTTCAATCAATAAAATCTAAATTACAATGAATAAAGAAGTTGATAAAAGTTGAGGGAAAATTACCAATCACAACGAATGAACGTTATCCTATCCTGACTGGATAGAGCACACACACAAAAGGAGGAGCAAGAACAAGTGTCAAGTAAAACTACACAGATGCAGTTCAGGAAGAAACACGAACTTAGTGAATGCGTAAGAAAAACAAAAACTATAATAAAAAATACAAGTATTAACAATTCAAATGTAATCAAAAGACAACAATTTACAACTAAGGTGATCAATAGGAACAAATTGCAAGTATATACATGGAGGGATTTTCACCAACACACAAAACATTAAAAATTGATCTTACACTGTATAACTCGTGTTCTACCTAAAGTATATGGAAAGCATGGGAAGAGCACACTTGTACATCAAGCCAAGAAAGTCAAATATAGGAATTACTCAGAAGACAATATCCGAAATCTGAAAAACATGTTTCATACGACTAACTGGGAATTATTTACAGATGACTCACTCGAAAACACTACTGATGATATCACTTATTACCTTAAATTCTGTTTTGATATTTACTGCTCCACTGAAACCATTTTCGTAAGTTTTGATCGATTTACATCCTCACAACTAAAACGATTACGTGAGTGAAAGAAAGAATGTACAGGGAGAAAAACTAACGAAGTTCGTTAGTTAAATGTTCTGATAAACCAAGTGATTGTGTGTCTCAACTCTATGTTTACTCAAAAACTATTGTCTTGTAAAAACTTCCCAAGTATGTGGAAACTCTTTAAAGACTTTATTGGTGACAGACACATTAGGAACGATAACCAGCTGAATGTTTGTGACCTAAATAAGTCTTTTGTACGTCAGTCATCTGATGTAGTACTCCCTTCATCCAAAGGTTTAAAGAATATCTATGTTCCTATTTTCACTGAAACTGATGTCCGAAGATGTCTCCAGTCACTTAATTCATCCCTATGTTTAGGACCTGATGTATCCCAAACCTCCATTTTAGTTGTGCTGGCGTCCTATGTTACCCATTCACGACCATCCTCAACAGATCCTTCTCATCTAATCTCATACCGAAAATGTAGAGAAAGATGAAGATAAACCCAAGAAAGTATCTGGTGATAAAAATGTGAAACTTAGACCTATTGCAATAACTTCACCCTTTGAGCACCAACCATTTAATCATGGGTACGAGCTAAACTGATACTATTATCAATCACACTTGTAGTTTCTTCTTTGTCTCATGTCAGGCTCGTTGAGCGGGGACAATAATTTAAAAATTCCTTCATTAGAGTGAAAAGCTGTGGGATTTCATCTAAGAGGATCGCTTTTACTAGTCAGTACTATTTAGATAACGAGAGTGAAACCGGACTTCTGGAACGTCTACGCGCAAGCGACAGTAGAATAATACTTACATTATGGAACCATATCTAACACTTGTCAGGCTGCGTGTCATCTTCAACAGGGAAGAAACACATAACAGACTTTATCGATGACTTTGGGTGACCATTTGAACAAGAATGAAGTCAAAAGAGCAAGCCACATAAGGTTCGACAAGCGATGACCTTAAGAGAGCAACAATAAAAATTTACCAACGGATAACTTCAAATAGTAGTCGTTGAAGCAGTAAAACGTCAAAATATTAGACGAACTCTGTTTTCAAATCTCCCTGCTTTAGGAAATAAAACATTTCATTTGTTAATGAAGGAAAGTGTAGTTCGCTAATGCTGCCGAACAAAACATGTTTAAAAGATTAGAGCTCCTTGTCCTGGGAAATAACAAGATAATGAGTGAAACTTATAGAAAGGAGTGGCACTTGTAGATCAAATACACAAAGTTTAAGACAGATCAGTCAACTTACTTTCTTATTAGCAGCACCCTGTTTGAATTCACCAATGGGTACTTTTGTGTGACCTCAAGCGTCCGCGCGTTTTTTAGGCCTGAAATGCTCAAGTCGTTTTTTAAGAAGTTTATATCAGCTGACGAGTCTGCGAAAAAGAGCTTCTCCACTACAATAGAAAGGAATGTTAACCCAACAGATATATGGGAAATTATTTCGGAGCTTGGAGATGGGGCATTCGGCAAAGTGTACAAGGTGCGTATTTTATTTTGGTCGACGTGTTTGTAGACTCATAAGCGTAATACTGACTTATTTGCTGCACTTAAACGGGTTGATTTTGAATCTGAGGATGAACTTGAAGATTTTATGTTGGAAATAGACATCCTTACTAACTTCAAGCATAAGAACATACTTACTTTGCACGAAGTTTACATATATGAAAGCAAATTGTGGGTAGGTTATTCTTCATATACATTACTAGAAAGATTTATCTGGAACTATGTGGTGGCGGAGCTTTGGACTCTATTATGGAGACTCTTGAAAAGCCTTTGACTGAGCCTCAGATCAGATTTGTCTCCAGAGAAGTCCTTCAGGGTCTTGAATTCCTTCATGAGAAGCTAATAATCCACCGAGACATGAAAGCTGGAAACATCCTACTCACTCTTAATAACGAGGTTAAACTTGGTTAGTCATAATCCACACGATTCAGATTTCAAGTAAACAATTTATATATATCTATAGTGAACACTGACGTTCGCATCTTACCATTAACGTGTTTTGTTAGGGGAAATCAGGTTGTAATACAAATGCTTCTCACCTAACACCAAGTCTTCTCAACCTTACATGTTTATCAGTATTGGTACTTGTTAAAACTTGAACGGCAAATACGGTGGAGTAACATATTTTTTCAGAAACTAATCAACGAAAAAAATCTTCATTGGCTGTAGGTTCATGTTGTATGATCCAAGTCATTTAAGAAAACTAGTTGACATCGGGGAATTAAGAAACGTTGTAAATCTTTCTTAGATTTTATCGTCCGGCGGACTTTGAGGTCTTCTTTTCACTAATGACACAGCTTATTTGCAGCGGTTTAATGTTAAAGTTTGTAGTGAAAACAAGTAGAGTTTAATGATACGATGATTTACATCTCAATATTTTTATTCAGGGGGTTGGCACAGTAAACGTCTAAGGGACCCTGTGTTTGGCTAGCTCAGGAAAACTGACTAGCTCCTGTTTGATTTGAGTTCTCTTTATAACCCGTGCTTTATTCTACAGCTGCAAGCATTCAATTTGTGAATCTCACATAATATCTAAGTCGTTTAAGTGAGCTCGTGGCATCTTCAACGAAGTTCTAGCTGAAAAGTGCATGTTCAAGATTCTGAGTGAGTGTGTTCATTATCATTTGCACATAAAGCAGGTAAAAGGAGATATAAGTGTATATTCACTACATTAAATTGTTGTCTTTCTGTGGATAATGGATATAAATATTTTTGAAATAGTGAATTTAAAGACAATTTCAGCTTCTTAACATTGTTTTTCGATTAACAGCTGATTTTGGAGTTTCTGCCAAGTTAACGGATGAAAAGCAAAAGCGATCGACATTCATCGGGACACCTTACTGGATGGCACCAGAAGTTATCAATTGTGAAACTTTTAAAGATGCTCCTTATAACTGGAAAGCAGATATATGGTCTTTTGGTGTGTTCCATTGATTTATTTTCAGTAATTATTCTTTGTAGATTATGTGGTTCTGTTGTTGATTTTAATGTACATATTGTATGATGTTTAATTTAGATATAGTAGGGTTTATTATCTATTTCGGGTTTATTAACACAAATGTTCGACTTTCTCTGTTTAATTCGTGTCGCGTGGCTGAATTAAAGGATATATATATATCACTATTCTATTGACTAGTACTATTTTGCTGGGTCATGATTTATAACTTTAAATACAACAAACAATGTCTACACTATTGTTGTCCTGGTAATCATGTGGGACACATTCTATCTCATAAACGTTCACATGGTCAATGATTTATTTAGTGATAACTCACATTTACTGATATCTACATGTTCCATGGATAAAGATTGTGCAATTGCCGAAAGTGTCGCACTCCTGTCGCATTTTTTTCATGTCATCAGGTTTACTAATACCAGTTTGTATAAAGCGAAACCCTTCGTTGAGTTAGTACTCTTGCTACCAAACACCTTGTGTCAAATTACTGAAGCATTTTTCATATATCCTGTGACCACCGAGTAAGTAAAGCAGATGCTAGGACACAGGTACTAGGTAAGGATGGCAAATCAAATGATGAAGTAGTGAAACTTCATGAGTTGAGATGGCTGGGACATGTGTTACGTATGCCCAAACACCGGCTGCCCCGACTTTTGATGTTTTATGGTGTAGGAGTAGGTTCTAAGGAAGTTGTGGGCGGCCAGACGAAAACATGGCACAAGTCCATTAAGTGACTGACAAGTGGACTGAGTGATGTTGGTAGGTGTAGACTATCTGGTTCCAGGGATCTGCGAGATGATAGCAACCGATGGTTAGAAACCTTGAATGACATGGCTCAAAATTGTTTGCAATGGTGCAGGTGCATCCACTTTTCGTGTTCTCTGAAATTCTAATCTTCTGAATTCTTCATGTCCCTGTTATTTCCCAAATTGATTTTACTGGATTATACTCCTTGAGTAACATCTTATACTCTTACTACCTCTACTATGGGATTTGAATAGACACTTGTATCTGTGTGTTAATGTGGTATGACAACTCGAACTGATGTAATTGTGTACTAAGTTCTATGTTGTTGACTGGCTGACTGTGTCAAAGTACTGAGTTTTATTCTAGCTATAAACACTCATAGGACTTCATATTAGATTCCTTACAGATGTGAGTTAATTACCTATATATTTATAAGTCACAAAGGAGCAGTCACTGTGGCTTATAGTGTCTATGAAGCTGTAAATGTTTGTTTCTCATATCCTACATGCATTTCTATTCTAAATACTACTACCTTGGCTCATTAATATAGAAATATATACACTTACTGTTAGACAATAGGTTTTAAACAACTAAATTGTGATTTGTGTTCAATTGACCTTTCGCACTTTCTTTTGTGATTTTGTGAAAAAGAATTAAACCTTATCGATTTCATCAAAAGAATTATGGATGAAAGTCACTTGATCTGTTGAATTCAAAGTGTCATATTTTGTGTACGGAAGCTACCCATCGTTCAGTACATGTTTAACTAAAATCATATGGTGAAGTGAAAATTCTTTTGTGAGTATATATATAATTGGCTGAGATTTCTCACTTGTATTAGTGTTCCAATAGTTACTGAGACGTTTAGATGTTAGACTAAATGAATGACGTTAATTAAGCTAAATTGAACAACGCCATATAAAACTTATCCCCAGTTCATATCTCTTCGTAAATGGTAAATAATTTTGTAGCTGCTTAAAAAATAAATGTTTCTATGTTCTTTAACTAATATAATTCTGTCATATTGTTCACTTGATTCGTTTAAAGGATTATTCAATCAAGCTGATGACCGGATATCATAATACTATGTACTTAGTTTTGGATAATTAGAGACTTTAAACTTCATTGTTATCAAACCTTAACACGAAGTCTTATAACAATGATTTAGCTTGTAATATAGCAGAAGCTAAGTCTTCTTCATTAATTCGCTACTCTTAATGTCTCAACCATAGCAAAAAATGATCTAAATTTGTATATTTGAACGAAATACTAGTTCCTTAAAGACTACATATTTTTCTACAATTTAGTGTTGCAAGTCGAAAATTTAAATCAGTCGGAGATTCTTGGGTATTCTCATTCAATGCAACTCACTTCGACCTATCAAGGCGAATTTTTTAATTTTGTTTTGATAAGCATATCCCTTTCTTTTTGTTGAATAAAGATCTATTGCTAACTTTGTGTAGGTATAACTCTAATTGAACTTGCTCAAAAGAGACCACCTCATAACGCTACTAATCCAACACGTGTTTTGTTGAGAATTCTGAAGTCTGACCCACCAACTTTATCTAGACCACAATTATGGTGAGTTACCATTTATTTGATGGATTAACCTTATTGTCCGAAATCTCAATTGTTAGTTATCTAAATTAGGTCATATATACATAGTAAGTCAAAGATTCCAGATTCCTCTCCATAGACTTTCTGTACTTATCATACATTATAAGGTATCATACCCTTAGCAGCATGAACTGATCATAATATTTAGCATCAGAGTTGTGTTTGGTCTCGTTATAATATACAGTTTTTAGTGTAGCAGCACCTCAGTGGTTAAAACCTGAATCGAACCCCATCCCACTTACTTTTGTTTGAACAATCGGATATTATCACTAACCCTTAAACATGGTCAACAAATCAAGTACGTAAGTTACGTAATTCTGTGCTCAGTAAATAAATACAATACCTAAGTTTGTTATCGATATGCTTGTGAAACCTGGTCTCTCCGAGTTGAGGATGTTAGACGACTCTCTGTGTTTGATCATCGCTGTCTCCGAAGGATTGTTGACATCCAGTGGCAACACCATGTCAGTAATGCAGAGGTTCGGCATCGTGTGTTCGGGCACAGAGACGATAATGCAATTGGTGTCACCATCTTGAAACACCGATTTCGGTGGCTTGGACATGTTCTCCGAATGTCGTCCCAGAGAATTCCACGTCGTGCATTATTTGCCGACTCTGGGACTGGTTGGAAAAAGCGGAGAGGTGGTCAGTGCATGACATGGTGTCGGGGTATGAAAGAAAGCTGCAAAGGAATGGCTTCTGTCGGTCTTTCACGACTCCCTGGTTGGGGTCTGAGAGATGGTGCTACACAGTGGCTAGAGACGTTATCAGATATGGCTCAGAATAGAAGCCAATGGTGATCCTGCTGTAACCTTCTTTTACTTTCTTCATAAAAAGTGGTTGTGTCTCCCTTACCTGAAAGATTTCTTCTGATTGTACCTTTCCGTTCCCTCATTTCTACCATACTACCTTACACCAATCTCGTTATTGTTCTCTTTTTTTTGCGCTCCTTAGATTTTTTTTCTATTTCTCTTTGAATTCTCATTGTTTTGTGTGGCGCATATATATTGGCGCTCTCTTGTACCAATATTCATGTGTTCAAATAAATAATAAATTTTGGACACTCATATGATGTTTATTTTATTTATATTTATTAATTAATAGATGTATTGATAAGAATCATAAATCGACAATGAAATATATAACAGAGATATATTTACATGATAGTATTTTGAAAAGAGCAAGAACAAAGATTCTAGCAGAACAGCATGAATTTATTTCTATTTCGTAGGTTCTCATCAGCTGCTTACAACCTATGATATTTAAAGTCATAATTACATAATGGATTTCAATTACTTACATGAGACGGTTTGGTTGAAAGCTATATTGAAGACATATTCGTATAGTATAGCAAGGGTGTAAATAAATTTAATAGATTGAATATTGTAAATATATACCTTATGTGATGAAAGAACATTTTACAACATTGATTATGACAACAGTTCAAACGGCTAGAAACAAGTGATGATTGCATAATGAGTAAACATTGATAGGAATATAGTGAGTAGAGCTCAGTTGATAAAATAAGATTATTAATTTGGAAGATAGTTGAAATAAAATTCAATGATGTAATAAATGCAAGAAAGAGTTTAAAGAAGAAGATGCAACGAAGGAATATTTGTCATCAAGGAAAGGAAAGGCAGGATTAATAACCATCTCCTTTTGAACATAAAAGTCAGGATTTTGACTCCTGATAGCAACGGCTTCAGAAGACTAGAGTTTAGCAGATGTCTTGTATCAAGGAGATGTTTGGTGATTTCACTGTTTAGAGTCTTTCTTTCCCTTGTTCTGAGAATTTTTGCATCATGTTCAAAAAATAAAAATGAATTCATGCTATTCTGATGGAATCTTTGTTCTTGCTCTTTTCAAAATCATAAAGGGAACTATGTGTATGTAATAGTATTTTTCTGAAATAGTTATACTTTTCCAGCTATAAACCTTCATTTTATCATGTTATGAAATCTTGAGCTTTATCTTTCTATTCAAGCAATTCGTTGGATGTGATTCACATCGTAACGTTGGAATCAGTCACTTTGGTTATTGAGTTGTATCATATGTATTTTAGTACAATTAGTATTTTATTGTAGGAGGTTTCAATTCACAGGGTTTCCGATCAATTGTTTTCACGATATCACAAACGAATTGATGTTGTATTTGAAATGTCTGTTCGGTGAGACTATAATTTATGAACGACCTTTGAGCGACGTTAAAGTAACCTTGAGAGTGTCCACCTAATAACCAGGACGAAATGAGGGTTGTAAACCACTGTGAGGACTTCGAATTGTGATTTACAGTTGACGGTTAAGGTTAGGAATTCTATTTAGGGTTTTTGTTATTAACTGACATAGGCTATAATGCCAAGACTCTATTGACTCAAGTGGATGAGTGAATTTAGTGCCAAAATTCGAGACCTGTTATCTTGTACATAATTGGTTCGTCCATAAATTATAGTCTCGCCGTCTGTTTTTCTGATAAATGGCATAGTACTAATTCAACTGCGAACTATGGAAACAAAATATTACCAACTATTTATTTATTAACATAACTCTTATGATAGAAATTAATGGAATGAAGTACTATTGATAATGATTGATTTATGCACTACTACATTTGTAACTAGTAGTTCTGTAGTATACGTTATCTCTCATCAACAATAGTAACATTGAATACTTTCTGTAATGGGTATATTTTTTCTAGATATTAAACTAACAATTCCATTTACTATATGCTTATTAAACTCATTGTACAATGTTATTCGTTCATGTCTTTTAATTTACGGATTAATTGTTTATTTCAAATTCTAACAATGTGGTGTTGGATAAATTTCTGGTGATTTCTTTAATTGAAACCTGGCCTATCCGAGTTGAGGATGTTAGACGACTCTCTGTGTTTGATCATCGCTGTCTCCGAAGGATTGCTGATATTCAGTGGCAACACCATATTAGTAATGCAGAGGTTCGGCATCGTGTGTTCGGGCACAGAGACGATAATGCAATTGGTGTCATCATCTTGAAACACCGACTTCGGTGGCTTGGACATGTTCTCCGAATGTCGTCCCAGAGAATTCCACGTCGTGCATTATTTGCCGACTCTGGGACTGGTTGGAAAAAGCGGAGAGGTGGTCAGTGCATGACATGGTGTCGGGGTATGAAAGAAAGCTGCAAAGGAATGGCTTCTGTCGGTCTTTCACGACTCCCTGGTTGGGGTCTGAGAGATGGTGCTACACAGTGGCTAGAGACGTTATCAGATATGGCTCAGAATAGAAGCCAATGGTGATCCAGCTGTAACCTTCTTTTACTTTCTTCATAAAAAGTGGTTGTATCTTTCTGAACTGAAGGAATTCTTTATGGTTGTCCCTTTCCGTCTCCCCCATTATTATTATTACACTACCTTACACTAATCTGTTCGTTATTGTTATTTCTTTTTTACGCTCCTCACTTTTTTTCCTTGTCCTCTTCAAATTCTCATTGTTTTGTGTGGCGCATGTATATTTGGTGCCCTTCTGTACCAATATTTATGTGTTTAAATGAATAAATAATAAAATACATGCTGGGTATGTACTTACTCGATTACTTCGTTTAGAGCTGCACTTATGTATAAGGATTAATAATACTATGTAGCTGTTTGGATCAAAGTAAACAGAGAAAGATTCAAGTGTATAACTCAATAATTGGAACACTAGTGTTCTTTTTCAGTAACTTTTTGTTTAGAATACTTAACTTTCAACTGTTAGATTTTAGGTTCGAAACCCTCCGCACTTAAATACTTTTAAAGTGTACTTCAAAACCGAGCGCATAAATTTCTACTTGATTAGTGAGTTAGCCTTATAGTTTAGCAAATAAATTGCCGTTCATACTTAACTTTTATTATTTCTTTTTATAAGCTTCTATGACTGTATTTTTCCACATTTTAATGAAAACTCTGTACTTTCTTTCATTTAGTTTCATTCAGGTAAGCAGTTAGTATTACCGACTCTCCCGTTAAATTATTTTTTATTTGATTATAATTTATTATAGGTCTTCAAAATTCAAAGCGTTCTTGGAGCGTACTCTACAAAAAGATCCAAATCAAAGACCCGAGTGTAGAGATCTTCTCTTGGTAAGTTGATGGCTTTTTTTATCAAATACATTTTATACTGACATAGTGAGTGAATGTATTGATATTCAAGTCAGTAATAATTCTCACTTTACCAGTTAGATGCTTTCTTATTAGAAGCACAACTGTCGTTACTAGGTTTCAATTTAGACATAGAAAGTTATAGCTGCTTGTCATTTAAATGGATGTCATTTATTTTTCTGTATTTTATCACACTAACTAGTACGTATTGACCGATTATGGTGCTAATCAAATTAAATGACAAATCTAACAGTAATTCATGACATAGTAAAACGTTCTCATAAGACAATGTTCATGGAAGTACATTTATCAGAAGCACAACATCTAGTCCTAAACACCTTTTTTTACTGATATACTTAAATTAAATTATTCCCTAAGTACTTGTGTGTAAACCACATCCTAGGTGTAAGGGTCAATTATACTATCCGGCTGTGCAAAAGGGAATAGGTGGAGTGGGGTCTGAACTGAGAACTAACTGGCTGAAAGTTGAATACCTTAACCACTAAGCCATCGCACTTATTTACTTACTAGAATAATATAACGTTTTATGACCAACCAAATTACAAGAGAGATGTTCGCTCCTCCAGGACATTATAAACGGTGGTCAAGTTTTTTTGAAAACCGTGAATTGACAATTTAATAGATATGAATCTTTCAATTCTGGCACTATATGACGATATATGAGGAGGACTATGCTAATGTGTAATTTGAAATTGATTATAGTTCAGATGATTGATGATAAAAGTTCTCTAACTGGGTTTCTGCATCAATTCTACTTGTTTATCTTGTTGTAATATGAAAAATCCAGCCCGTGAAATTGGTTAGTTGTATAATCATGTATTCTACTGTATGATTTGATCAAAATATACACCTCCTACGGTATACCAAGTCCACTGTGAAGGTGTGGCGCATATATATTTGGCTCACTCTTGTACCAATATATATGTGTTCAAATAAATAAATAAAAAATAAACTGTGAATGTGAGAAAACTATATGAATAGAAATATTCACTTGCCTGTCAAGTCTTCTACTTGATTACGACTAATAAGATATATGACTTCATCAGTCGGACGCGTAGAATCCACATCCAAAAATCGAAAAGACAGAAGAAAGTGGGGGGACGGTTTATTGAGTAAGTGTTTTCAATGTACAGAACAGGTCTATTTATAGTTTCTGGTGTAGGCTATAACATCATTATGATCCAGCGAGTTCTCACTTTGAAAGTTTATACAATTGTCCAATTAGAGCATCCTACGTTAATATTCTAGGAAGTTCGGCTCCTTTAAATCCTCCGGAGGTCTCGTTACGTGTTCTGGGAACCATCCCAACATTGTCAAACTAAGTTTTAATGTACATAATTCATGGGTATTTACTTATTCACCCTCTTTGACCTAGATAACGACAAGTAGGCAACGGATTCTTGACCGGGGCATAATCTACTTTCCTCAATTAAATACCTCCGAAACATCTCACCTAAATTGAATCTATTCTCTTGAAGTGTCAAAGAACACTGCTCAATGCTTCTTCATCATTTGATGGTAGTTCATAATTGACATTTTTCTTCAAACTAAGTCTTATTTACTCTATGAGATTTCAACAGTTTATTCATTCTCTTTTCTTTAAAGCTTAAAATGAATATTGATTAGAGTTTTAAAGTGCTCGACTTTCTTTACCTGTTTGTTCATGATGTCTTGACTACAAGTTTTTGTTTACAAATTAATAATTATCTAAGTATTGTATTTTGTTTTATGAACTTGGTTGTTGTTTCTTTCTTTTCTTTTTTTTTTCTCTATTGATAAAATAAAATCACACATTAACACATTATACTATTTATGTGACATAACTCATCTATGATTTTATCAACATACCACACATATACTAACTACAATATTTTGTTATTATATATGAATTGCCAATTTTCAGTCAATTGGTTTTCTTGAATAGAAGTGAACTATCTGTAGTTGTGTTAAACTGGAAACTATGCAAGCAGTAAGGTGGTAATGCTGATTACGAAAATCCATGAATTGTCATATGACTATTGACTTGTGACGGCTGTATCAAAGATACAGATGTGTAATATATCTTCTCAAACATAGATTAAGATGTTATTATACAAATATTTCACTGATTGAAATCATGAGTCAATTGAAGCCAGACCACCATGAAAAATCATCTGCTCACTAGTGACTGACTTCAAAGATACTCCTGGAATTCTAGTGAGAAGCCGTTACCAGTAGAGTTCAACTAGGTCTGTTGTGAGAAATCAACTCACTGAAGACAATGATGTGCGGTGGCGCAACTTCGTGGATTGGTTGAAGTTAGACATTAACACCGTTGGGTGCCGGCTCAGTGGTCTAGTTGGTTAAGCGTGTGGCGCAATACTGATAGGTTCAGGGTTCAGAACCCGCGGAGTGCGGGATCGTGGATGCGTATTGCTGAGGAGTCCCATACTAGGACGAAACGACCGTCCAATGTCCCCAGGTTTTTCATGGTGGTCTAGCTTCAATTGACTCATGATTCCAACCAGTGAAATCTCTAAAATCTCCACAAAACTCCTGATACAAATATTTAGTAGAGCAAGAAATTTTGACCGCGTGTTCGATATTTGTTTTGTTTTATATTGTTTATTCACAGGATCCATTTGTTTCTGATGTGACGGAAAATGATCGTAAAGTAATTCAAATACTATTATGTGAAGTCAATGCAGATATTATTGAAACAGTTGAAGATTTCGATCCAAATGAGCCTGTAAGTTACTTCAGAAATACACGTAATAATAATAATAATAATAATAATAATAATAATAATAATAATAATAATAATAATAATGTGATCCACCTGTTGAGTAAAGGTTCCCATACATAGCTTACGGCCACATGTTAGTTGCTAAGGGTAATGATACTAACTATATATAATACCAAAATTAAGATATGTGAAGTGAACTCGAACCTGAAATCTATTGATGGGAAACCCAAATGCACTATAATTGATATTTTGTAAATAGATGACATATTCAAAGGCTTTTTTATTTATTTACGTATCACGTAATCTGTTTGAATGATTATTATTAATAACTATACTCAAGTTGTCAACCGATTCGAGACTGTTTTCACTTGATTTGCTTTTATCTAGCCTGAAGTTATCTTCAGTTTTTATATACGAAAATAGTACTGAAAAATCTAATATATAAACTTATATCAAGCTGCTGAATTGTATTCATAGTTTCTACATCTCATTCCATACCATTAGTTGGCTTATATCAATCATAGTTGACGTATGACTACCTTTAATAATGTTACTAATTATGCTACTCTGGCATCTCTCCATGCTGATATCATATGGGAGCTTAAATCGATGTGTTAGGTTCTGCGTTTCTTATGACTGACTGACTGACTGATGAAGTTAGTACGGAACATTTAATAGAAGTTTCATTCTTGCTGGCATTTCAGCAAGTTGTATCTGGAACCGTATTTGATCTGAATATTTTTCAAAAAAATATAATTCATATGCCAAGTGTAAGCCTATATTCACTGGTCTTCGAACAACACTTATTTAAGATAGCCAGTGATATCCACTGGGTTACCGAAGTCAACTCAAGTGGACCGGGACTTACAACTACGACTAAATAACTTTTAGAGTTAAAACTGGTAAGCTATTAACACTGTGAAATAATCTGATTCTCAACATCAATAATATAATGACCTGGTAGATTATTATCATCAATCGATTTATTTTCTCCTAAGTTTGTATATAACATGTATATTCACATCCACAGTGTTTTAATGATTGTCGCATAGTGTACATTCACAAGTTTTTCTCCTTATATGTTTTGTCTTGTAATAACAATGTGTTAGTTACAATAAAGCACATTTATAAACATATACACGTATATATATGGTTGATATTGTTTGCTTAGATAATTAGGCCATTTTGTTTTGTTTTATATGCTAGATAGTTTGAGAAAGAGAGATATGTATGTGTCTGAGTAGTGATGTCCTTTATTTAACTTATGTTGATTGTATAACTTATCAAATAAGCACTATCGCATGTTTATTTGAAGGAGATAAAATCAGAACATGCTATCATCCATTATTTGACTTGTTAATTAATATTCTGATAAGTCTATAATTATATTTTCTTCTGACCTTTCAACCTTCTTACATAGTATTCTCAGAGTATATATTCACAGTTATGAATAGTGATGGTGGATATTGGTAGTACAGACACATGGAGAGAGAGACCTAACGACATGAGGCTTTTGAGTTCTAAAGATGGCGTATTATATAGAAAGCGCTAGTATGGTGTGGCAACGTAAAACGATGTACATGTGTGATAGATTCTAAGTTATACATGACTGGCTGATCTAGAAAGAGAAAGTCAGTGTAAAGAAACAATAATTTAAATTGAGCCGGGCGAGGTAAATAAACAAACTAAATATATTCTCTTTAATTATATTCCCACTTTAGTCAAGAAAACTGTGACTTGGTCTAGATATATCTAAAGTCAGATATAGTGGTTCACTCGGTTATAATGATGGGATCACCGGGTAAGTAATAGTGAGGTTAGACACAGGGTATTGGGAAATGATGGCAAGTTAGTTGATGAGGTTGTGAATCTTCATCGACTGAGATGGTTTTCATTAAGAACTGACATCAGCTATAAAATACCAAAACGCTATTTGACCAAATGGATGAGTGAATTTCGCGCCAAAAATCTAAGATCTGTTATCTTATACCTCTGATTGCTTTGTTCATAAATTATAGTCTCGCCTACAATATATTTTTGCAAAGCAAAATAACATCAACTAACCATTAGAGACTTCAATACATGGATCAGAATCGATCACAATGGCATCGGTGTATACACTCTTTGTCTTTCCTTAAAACGTGAGATTAAAATTGTTTCATGTCTTTCTTTCTACGCACTAATTCTTTCTTCCTGTACTATATCCTTATATGAAGTCTTTCTTTTATATAATACCACCATTGAATTAATTGCTTCTATGAATCCGGTGTCCATCTTGTGTTAATGAGGTATGGCGACTTGGACCGGTACATATATGTGCCTGGTCTTACGTTGTAGCTGACTAACTGATGAGTTTATCTAAAAAGGTTAGATATGCAGTCGTATCGTTTGTAAAGTAAATTCAACTTACTTTTATTCGACGAAATTTTTTGTTAAGGGCGATAAACTGTATACACATGTGTACTTTCAGATCGAAATTGAATAAAAAACTAAACTATCAGATAAAGGGATTAAACAGTTTGAAAATATGATATTACTCTTATTGACATAAATGTGAACTTAAGTCGTTTGCCTTTTAAAATAATAAATGAAAACCGGTTTCAATAACTTTACTTCATTTTATGACTATGGAACTTTAAAAAGAGGGGTACACAGAAAGTCTGCAGCAGGACAATACACTCATTTCCATAGTGCAGTTCCAATCAGATACAAAAGGAACTTGATAAAGATCTTGATACATCGGGCTAGAATGATTTGCTCTGAAGACACCATTGAAGAAGAATTGAATAATATTCGGAACCTACTTAGTATGAATGGGTATCCCATGAAATTCATCGACAGATATATGATGGAGAAGAAAACAAGGACAAAGATACTCGCCGTCCATAAGAAGGTACTATTCATAAAATTAAAATTCATAAATGACACCATTGAAGAAATCTGGACTCAGAAATTAAGAAGAGCCGTACAAAAAACATTTAATGCTACCAGATGCTCAATTCGTTCCTTCTTTATTTACCAAATAGCAAAATGGGAATTTTCACTATATGGAAGATTTGCAGAGATTATCTAACGTCAATACAGTTTAAGTCGTAAAATGTAATACCAGGAAGCTATTTTCTCTTATCATAGGAACTTTCAATAGTGTACACTAGCAATTAGTCATTAATGAGTAACTGATCATTATTAGGTTGAAACTTCACTTAATAATGTGAAGAATCGTGAATAATTTATATTCTACTAATCATTGGTAAATGCAACTTTGTAACCTAGTAGAAGTTCAGTCACTAGATTTTAATCAAGCTTAATACGAACGAGGTCATTATTTTAAACTTTTTTTTCAAGGTGCTATTAAAATCTTTACACGTTCAATATTCGTCTTTATCTAGTTCATGCCTTAGTATATGGTTACCACTTTTCATTCTTATTCCATTCAGTTGAAAATATGTCTTATCTCTTTACATTAATTGAAGTAAAGCTTGATTTAAACATATAACCTATTGTTTGAAAGTTCTCTATCTAAACCAATTAACCACATCTTCATCATACATTATAGTGTATTGATAATAATTATCTTCTCAAATTCAATCTAAATAGTCATTTAAAAAGGAACAACAAATACAACAACGAAACAAACAAACAAGCAAACATATTCTTCTTTTAAATAGAATGTTGAAAGAACTTGATGTGACTTAGTAGAAACATTCCTAAGTTCAGTAGAAAATAAAATGTACATTTTTGTATAAACCATAATTATATATACATATTAACTATAAAAATAATGTATCTCTCTCTTTGTCTCCATCTCTGGTATTTTTTATCAAAAGTGTGTGACTTCAGTCAGTCAGTTACAACGTAGGACCAGGCACATATGTGCATTGGTCCAACTTGACCTACCTCACTAGCACAACAAGATGAACACTGAATTCATAGAAGCAATTAATTTAATGGTGGTATTATATAAAAGAAAGATTTCATATAAGGATATAGTACAGGAAGAAAGAATTAGTGCATAGAAAGAAAGAAATGAAACAATTTTAATCTCACGTTTTAAGGCAAGACAAAGAGTGTATACACCGATGCCATTGTGATCGATTCTGATCCATGTCATCCAGAGTATCCAACCATTGGTTACGATAGTCACGCGGACCCGAACTAAGTAGTTTGCATCTCCCAACATGCCTCAGACCAGAAGTTAGTGACTTTGTGGACTGGTGCCACGTTTTGTTTTGGCCGTCCCTAACTTTCTTCCAACCATTCCCAACACTAGTCAACAATGCGCATCGTGGTAATCGGTGTTCAGGCATATGTAACACATGGCCCAACCATCTCAGTCGATGAAGATTCACAACCTCATCAACTAACTTGCCATCATTTCCTAATACCCTGTGTCTAACCTCACTATTACTTACCCGGTGATCCCTGCAGATGCGAGCAATATTTCTAAGGCATCTATGATCAAATACTAGTAGCTTACGAATATCGTCTACTCTTAATGGCCACGTTTCGCGGCCGTAAAGTAAAACAGAACGAACTGCCGCGCAGTCTGTGTGACTTAATTACTAGTAAATTAATTGATTATTTTATATGAAATAATTGAGTAAAGGCAATTAAGGTTGTTAGATGTTATTTTTCTTGTTTTATCTTCTATCGTCTACTTCCCATGATTATTTAATAACGACTGTGTGAATTGTCTAAAAAATTACCGATACGATTACTTTGACTATTCTCTTCGGCTTATATCCTGTTAATTCACCATTTGAGTTATGCTAACGTAAAGTGTGAGAATCCGGGCCCAATGCTCTGTATGTGTGCTCGGTTCTACGTTGTCATTATTTGATTGATTTATACAAGGCAATATTTATGAACCATAAAAAAGAACTTTTCAACTGAGATCTATGATTCCGAATATCACCCAAACTGTTAAATATATATATATATATATAATACTATTATGATTGCTACTACTACTACTACTACAATCCAATAACTAAGACTCGTTGTCTCCATAAATTTAACAATAATTGAGAAAAACAAAATAATATTCTATTCATTGTAGATTGATGAAATTGACGATAATGATTTGAATCCACTTATACTGTCAGATTCTAATTAATTATTATTAATATTGATTGTTGATGATGATGATGATAATAATATTGATAAAGATAAAAAAAAATAATACAATCGTTAAAAAAAAAAATAATAAAAAAAAAAAAATTAATTATAAAAAAAAAATAATAAAATAATAATTGATAATTGAGTAAACAATATTATTCTTTATCAAAAAAATTTTTCTTAATAATATGATTTAATAAAATAATTGTTTTTTTCATTAATATTTTATTTTTTTTTCTTTTTATTTATTCGTTATATATATTTTCTCGTTTGTAATAATTTATTTCTTTCTTTATTTTCAATCTTTAAATATTTCACAAATATATAAAGTATTTTTTATATTTTATTTTATTGATTCAGAATTAATTGAATATTAAAAAAATTTGTAAAACCTTTAAAATTTTGATGGTCATTCTTTCGTACTGCTAGATCCTTAGGAAACTCGAAAGACCTCCGAGGCCCTTTTCCCCTTTTTTGTGTCTTCTTACACATGTGTGCACTCTTTCGCGATAAGGGGAGAAATTTACATAATTTTAATACTCTTATTCACCAAGTGAAGCATGGTGAAAATAATTAAAATATATATAAAAATTTTAATATATAAATATATATATAGTATACAAATAAAATATATATATATATATATATATATATATGTCTGAGATGGGGAAACACAGACATAGACTTTTGTTGTGTGTGTGTGGGTTTTTTCTTTATAGGGTCCCATTTTTAATTTTCTCTCTTCCTTTTCCTTTTGGGTTATAATATGAGAGCAAACCCAAATAACTTTTCGTTTCCCACACCGCATTTTTGTAAAGTTTTTTTTTTACTTTAAATTTAAGTTAAGTGACTAAGAATTAATTTAAAGGGAAAAATTTTTACCAAAAATTGATATAAGCTGGGAAATCGTTTAAAATCAGCTAGCCCTGGTTAAAAATTTTACTCTAGCGATAAATCAATGACTTTACACAAAAATTAAGCCTTTAGAGCTCCCGGCATTCAACCACTAGGTTTTAGGCTTCAAATCTGCTCCCTTTTTTTTGTAATTTCAGCACCATACTTAGAGTTCTCCTCTAAGCCAAATGAATGAGTTAGTATCTAGTAAATTAATTAGTACAAAATTCCTTATCGATCAATCAGTTCCAATCCAATTATTTCAATTTTAGTTCATTCGGTTTACAACGTCATACAGTTACAATCAACATCTTTTTAAATTAACAAATTAAGTACTAAAGCAAATAAAGTATATTTGATCTTGTAGGGAATATAAACTATGTTTCTAACTCCCCCTTTTTCGAATAGTCTTATAACTTTCTTTCAACTTAATGAATACATGTTAACCTAATTAAAATGTGCTATAACTTAAGGCCTATGTGCCCTGGTAATGTATTACGTGACGATACCACCAATTTGAGAGCAGTGAATTATCAATCGGACCAGTGACGTATAAAACGCGTACGAGCAGTCTAGGGTCTCTATCGGTCCTGCTTCCTGCCTAACCCACGCAGCCAGTTAAGTCCAGAACACCAATCTCAGCCTCTGCAGTATGAATTATGTATTCCAAACATACTGGGTTTATATACCAACCAGATGGACCATATCGTACCATAAAATAGAAAACAACATTTGTCTAACAAGTTGTATATACATAATAATCTGAAGAAGAACAATACAGGCTTGAAATGGATTAGGATATTTGAAAACACAAGCTATTTCACTAATAATACAAATGTTGATATATATAATATATAAAATGTTTACTCGTAGGAATGTACGTTGAAACAGTAAAAAGTTTTAATAGTTTTAAATTTAAAATTAGCCCCTGGCATAACCTCCACGAGAAGTTCAGCGAAGTAGGTGGCAACTGGGTGAGCATAAGAATCAAGATATCTGAAATGGGGGAAAAAGAGGCACTTGGGAAAATAAATTAAATGAGAACAAACTGTAAATTTATTGAAAATACTACTGAAGATTTAGCCAAAAGTGGCTGTGAATGGGGTAGGTAGTAATTAATAGACAGGGCATAACTCGAGAATGGTAAATGGTATAATAATAGTTCATAGGTCAAAACAAATCTCATAATAAGAGGGACGTGAATATAAATAACAAAATGTTTACAAAAATCTACACATAAGCACTAGTCGTTGATAATCAACTTTACTTTATACAAAAAGAAGCCCATATTAGTTCGATTTTTTTTATCACTCTTGAGGATGTAATTGCAGGTCAAAGTATATTAACTTTTTACATTTTGACATAAATACCCACGTTTTTCCATGCATTTTTGATCCTTACCCAATATTAAAGTTAATTGTTCAGTGTATGTGATTATACCTAGTAATGTGCTATCTATTGATTATCTCATTATTGTTACTCTGTACTCAAGTAATAATAATCCGTTTATAAGTTAGGTCAAGGTTAACTAAGTAGATCTAATGGAAATATTCTTAAAATACTACTTTATTCAAACTAATTCGTGTATGAAGTACTATTAGTCTCTGTATAAGATATATCAATTACTACTAAATGACTAAATTGTAATCTGAGTTCTTCGATTACTTGAATACATCTTACTATATTTCAAGCTTGATTGCTTATTTCAGTATTTCATGTGAAGCTGATATAAAATCGGGCAAGTTAATGAGATATTTCGCTATATTCTTGAGAGCTGCTAACTGTTTATAAGAGTACATTATCTTTATGCCACTGTATGTTAGTCGAGTTATGTAGAATTTTTTTAAATGTGGTAAATTTGTAACAGAAAGAAAAATTTATCTTAACTTTCAAACTGGTTATCTCCACGGTTCATGTCCTTGAATTACCTGTTCTTTATGCTATCCCTTTGCCATCAACTAATTAATCGATATTCACTGACACAGGCTTTCATAGTCACTCAATTTACGATATAATATTGTCGAAGGAGATTTTAATGAATGGGTTAAACATGATTATTATGCAGGTCCCAGAAGACGATTTCTACGACTCTGCCCATACTAAAGTATCTAAATCGCACGACACAGGATTTATTGCAACAATCACATGTCACTATACTTGCGCACAAATTTTATCGGTAGTACGGAATCTGTAAAAATAATCACTAGTTATTTATAACAATAGAAATGGTGTTACTCTATCAGATATCGTCATCACCATAAAAAACTACCGGTAAAACAGTAAACGATAACGAATCAAGCTTGATTCGAACGGGATCGAACAAAATTGCTAAATGAACGCTATTGCGTTAAGTTTTGGAACGTTCAAGCAAACCAATAACTTCACTTACAGAGATTCTATACTTGTGGATGTAGTGCTAATGACCAACCATCTTTTTGAAATGCCAAAAACGTATTTAGTATAAAGTTGTCTAAAAGTATATAAAAGAAGTGCTTGAAACCAGGAGTATAGGCCACTCACCATCCAACCGTGTCCTGGGCAATCCTTTCCAGCTCTTTCTAGTTGTTATTCACCATTTTCATATCTGCTTCTATTCCCTGACGTAATGTGTTCTTTGGCCTTCCTCTTTTCCGCTTCACTTCAGGATTCCAAGTTAGGGCTTGTCTCGTAATACAGTTTGGTGATTTCCGTACTGTATATTCTATCCACTTTGAATATCTTTTCCTAATTTTCTCTTCAACTGGAAGCTGGTTTGTTCTCTCACATAGTAGGCTGTTGCTGATGGTATCCGGCCAATGGAGATGAATAATCAAACAAAATTAATATTTTAATTTTTCAAGAATAAAAATTATCATCAAGCTATACGAATACTTTTTTTGTAGACAGCATATCGAATGATGTATAGATAATAAAACATAAGAAGATAAACCCTATTTTTATTATGTACCTTGTTTGTCTTAAAGTCTCACTCTGTATGATAATAAATAATACTAATCAGTTGCTCAAATAGACGTGGATGGTGCGAATGCTTAATGGTTGGAATTCGAGTGTTTCAACCACACTACAGCTCATTGCTCCATTGCTGTATGTTCTCTGTTCTTTTTTGCAATTCAATAAAGTCAATATCATATCATTATAGTCTAGTTTGTTGAATTCCTACATCAATTCGTAAATATCTTATCCATTAGGTTTGTTGTTTCCATAGTTAGACAAAATTAGCAGACCAATTGTATTTTTAGAAGATTTTTAACCAGTTCATTGGTGTGTTTTATTGTTTATGTTACTAAGTATTATTGTATTTACATTTGCTGTTGTAGTTGCCACTATTCCATCACAAATTGTTTGCTCTCTATATCACTTAATAATTTAACCAATCTCTTTCTCATTATACATTTGTGAATGTGTAAATCTTAATGTATTTTCTTCTATCTGTTTAGCCATGATTTGTAAATATTAGTTCTATAACAATAATAACACATTCAATCATTTGAAAGCGAATATAGTACACAGAGACTTTACTATCCAGTGGTAACTATTGTAAAATTGAGTAATGTAGGCATGAGTCCCATAAGAGGGATTAGTTCTTTCAAGATTTAAAATGTGTTCCGAGTAGCACGAAACTTGGGCTCAGGGGATCCTCTCAACTTCATTCAACCTATTAACATATTCTTTCTAAAAATGATTCCCATTTCGTAAATTTTTTCGCGTTTTGTGGTGTTACATAAACAATGTGAGGTAGTACAGTTGATTAAAAGATTTTTGTTATTAGTAGTTTCAACCAGGTTTATTTTACATTTATTGTTGAAGTTCTTTTCGTTATCTGAGTTTTGAAAATTTTTTCGAAAAATGTAGCCACTTTTTAAAATCGAATACAATTCATTATGTTAGAAGGTGGGGAATATGCCAGGACTATCATTGGTTGCAATAGCTCGGTCATGTTCTTTGAAACAAGATCTACTACAGACAACCACTAAACCAGTTGTGAAAATACGTTCTAAAGTAAAACGTCGATCTACTGTTGCACATGTCAGTCAAAGAAAATCCGGTTCATTATTCACTATCTCATCGATTTACAAACCGAATAACGTACCGGTATCAACTAACACTAATCAATTATCATGTGAAAAATCAATTAATACCATACAATCAAGAAACAATCATAATAAATCAGCAACTACTCATCATACTTCTTTTAAAGTTACTGTATGTCCTACATGGATAGATAAATCGATGATCACTATAGATTTACCATCTATTAAACCAATTATATCTAAGAAAATTTGGCGAACTGAAATCAATTTACCAATTTTATCACCAATAATAAAAAAGAATCATAATGTTGATAATATAAAATCAACAATCATATATGATTATGGAAAATCTCAACAACAACAACAACAAGTAAATACAATTCACATTCTCATCTACACTATACACAGCTGATTATATAAATCCAACACCTAGTGATTATTTATAAAAAAAACAAAAAGAAATAAGTGCTCTAAATTGAATGCTATTTGATTTAAAAAGAAAATCCCCATCATTATATGTACACATGATGATACCATTGCACATTTGATCTATTGTTGTTGCATAATTATGTCATATAAAAGTGATCAGGCTTCTTCTTCTTCCTATTATGCACTTTTGCTATAAAGAAGGGAAAAAAAACTAACAAATTCAATGCACTTTAATCAATATATCTCTGAATTTGTGGAGATTAAAGTTAGACCATTATGGAAAACTTGAAAGAAATAGACGGACGTTTTGTCTTAATATGGGACTCCTCAGTAGTGCGCATCTACGATCCCGCTCACGGGGTTCGAACCAATGTAGTTCAACCAGGTCTGTTGTGATAGTATAACAGATTGAAGACAATGGTGGACGGTGGCGCAGTTTCGTGGGTTGGTTAAAGTTAGACATTAACATCGTTGAATGCCGGCTGGCTCAGTGGTTTAGAGGCTAAGCGCTCGCGCGCGAGGCTGACAAATCATGGGTTTGAATCTTGCGGGATAGGATCGTGGATGCACTGCTGAGGAGTCCCACAACAGGACGAAACGGCTATTTAGTGCTTCCAGGTTCCCCATGGTGATCTAGCTTCAATTCACTCATGGTCGCAACCATTGAAATTTATATATATATATAATTTGATTTATAGACAACTATTCATGCTCATAATAATCGTTCATGAGATATACCAATCTATGCACCATATGATTACCAAAGCACCTTTACGAATCTTTATATTGGCATATGTTTTGGAATGTGACTTTAAATTTTTTTCTGATTGGCTTTCATGAACGAGTATAATTGATAGAACTGATGTACGTACGTACGAAGTTCTACGTTGTTACTGATTGATGGAACTCATGCTATTTTAGATAATAAAAAGCTTTCATCAATAAGTAAAGTAGGTTAATGGTTTTCTCAGAATCGATCACATGATAATTACCATGTGCTCACTAGTGACTATCTTCGTGAGGAAATTCTTGGAGTCCTAGTGAGAAGCCGTGACCAGTGGAGCTAATCCGTGTCAGGTAGAGACAGGTATCTACCTCAATACAATGAAAGTTTTCAGTCGAGAAATTCTATGTATTAACATCATTAAATTAACTACTTCTATGAATCTGGTGTTCATTTTGTTGTGCTAATGAGGTAATGGCAACTTTGGCCGATGCATATATGTGCGGATGCGCATTGCTGAGGAGTCCCACAATAGGATGATTTATTCAATAAAGACAACTCTATGATTTTCTATGTTATATTACTTAATGTTTTTTCTTAATCACTAACATGATTCGATTAACTATTAACTAACCAATTATATTTTCCATTATATTCAATTTGATATTAAAAAAGGGATTTTATTTAATTATCATGCTATAATTGCTATTTTGCTTTTCGCTTTGTCTCATTTTCGCTTTATTTAATTTAATGCTATCTAATCTTTATCATTAATATAATCTTACGGTGATATTTACTTTTTCTACTTGTAGTACCACGAAATTTTAATCTCAGTTTAAAAGTTCAGGGAACTGGCATAATCGGAAGCTTAATATATGATTGATGAAATAGTCGATCAATTAATTACAGATGTAATCACTTCTGACACAAAATCACCTTCGATTACATCATGTGTATTTGAACTTATGCATGATATTCATTCGACTGTTGTCAAATCACCATATACTACTTCTATTACTTCTAATGCCACGATCATCACCACTTCTGTTGTTCCTAATTCTACTGCTAAAATGGAACATGTTGCTAAGGGAAAAGTAAGAACTGTTTAGTGTTTGACTTTTGCCTTGTTCGTTTGTTCTGATTTACAATGCTGTTGATATGTTTATATTCCCTACGCCACTTCGGTTTAAACTGCCATTATGTTCATTGTGATAGGGTGGGATTGTCTAACAGTTAACCTTTTACTTAGTAAAGGATAAGTAACTGTAAAAATTGATATCAAATCGTTCAGGTGCTTACATCGATAATTAGGTTTCTTGAAAAGCCATCACTTGGTCATACTTCGTATCAGTGTATACCATCTATCGATCAGTATTATATCCTTTCATTTCAATAGTCATTTGTATAATCTATCATAATAAATAATTGGTCACGCTTGCAAAAGAATGGAATACACTAATTTGTATTTGTTTATTGTACAAAATAGTCTCAGCATTTCTTGCAAATATTAAAGAATTTTTTGTGTCAAAAGTTATGGAATTGCATCGTTGACCTGGTGCATAACTGATAGTGCATTTTGCTTATTTTAATTCAGTATTAATAACGCTTTTGTTTAACAAATCAGTTAACCAGAACTAACATTATTACTTATAGTTTCTTGTTGTTTATATTCAACACTAATCTCATTATTGAGACCTAAATACTACTAATGTTTACAAATTGATTGTAATTTGAATAGGAACGTTAGTATTAATATTCAAGAGTCGAGTTTCGTCCCTTTTGAAACTCATCAACCGTTAGTAGTGTATTATATCATTTCCATTTTGTATAACGTTTATATTGTGTTTATTGAGTATTATTTTACAAATACTGACAATTCAATAAGTGATTTACGTTCATTTAATTAATTTAATAGTGACTACTATCAAATTATTTCGATACTAATCAAGTTTATTGCGTGTAATAAATAACACTTGTTCCTTGGAGTATCTTTTTTTTGTGTGCAATATTTGATCCAGAACAACATATATATCTAAGCGAACAATATTGTTTTCGATTATATCCTCATGGAAGAATATTTAGGTCGTCAATATTCTCAGTATAATGAGTGATTACCAAGTTCAACAGGTAGTAGTTTATGAGTCAATAATGATAACAATAGAATAGATTACATAAATAAGTGAAAAGTACAAATTGATAGTGTAATGACAAGTGTACTAGTTGTGGTAAGCAATAATAAAGGCTTGAATCAATGTTACATAATGGGAACTAGGTCAATGATTAGAAAAATATGTAGTCACCGTGAGATAACTATCCGTTAATTAGTTTAATTCAATACTGATATATGGATATAAATACATATGCTGTATATAGAGGAAGATATTTATATTACTAGTACTGGTATGAACCCACGCCACTTCCTTTCCTACATCACTGTTTATCACTTCTTAGGTAGTGATGTGAGGACAGTTCTGGAGTAATGTCAACTAAAAAACACTTATGAGGATCTAGTCGAAGACAATATTGTTCGCTTATATATGTTGTTCTAAATATTTGATCCGTCTAATGAGATATTGGTGTGTTTTCTATTACGCTGAGAGTTGATTATTGTTTTCTATACGGTACATTTGAGAGCTTGTCATGGTAGATCAGTTTTTACTCAAGCTTATGCGCTTCTAAGACCTGAATATCCGAAAGGATACTAATCACTACTATGAGTCTCACTGTTTTGCTGTTTTTCTTCCTAGTTCACCAGTTCAGTCCATCTTACTCCTGTGGAAATATGATCTATCGAAGTTATCATACATTTATATCAGTTCCTTTATTGTTTATGATGAGATTTCTCTCTAAAGGAATAATATAGTTATTTTAATTGGGCTAAAGAAAAAAACCACACAATAGATCTTTAGTTTTAATCATAAGTATAAGATATTTGATTTAATGTTTTTAATCTTCATAACATATTACACTGTCTGAAGAGTAATAAACGGATGTTCTATACCTTATTCATAAGATGTACTTATTAACTATTTAAATCACTTTTATGTTAATATCTGTTTTATATTTCAGGCTAATAGTAATGTTAACAATCGTATTCGTGAAACAATTGTTCATCCTAAGAAACAGTTGACTCCATCAGAAACTATTGAACATAAATCTCTTGTCGTCAATGATGGATTGAAATGAGAGTTAGTCAATGAATTGTCTACCAAGTGCGTATTACTTACAATAATAAATCGAAAATGACTGTATCTCCAGTAAGTCAACTTTTGTTCCTTTCCATCACTCAGGACAGCCACAGGAATATGATCTTTCATTGTGAATGTGGATTATGTAATGTTAGTGTCTTGATTTTTTTAGATGACTGATTTCGGTAATTTATATTGAACTATTTTTTTATCGTCGTGTATAGACCTCAACTGAGTAGCTATTTAAAAAATGCAGGTACTAGACAGTTGTTTTAGTCTTGTTTGGAGTTCTTCAACAGTGTACACCATCGGTCTCACAACATTATCACTCAAAACCTGGAGGTATCACGATACTGTGTCAATATCACATACTTTTTATTCCAGACTTCCGTCTATTTGCGTTATCTTCGATAAGTTTCATCAATGATTTTCTCATTCATTCTTAGTTTGCAGTATTTTCTTTTTCATGGCCGTTCACAAGAGCTTCAAGAAATCTATCTGAAAGCCTTTCATTAATGAGCCCATAAATATGTACATTTTTCATACCTACATTCTGACATACAAATTAATACAGTGACAGGTCATACAAATTCACTTTGACAAAGAAGGGTTTGACAGGCGTTTCATCATAGTCTGTCATTTTTGTCTTTGTGTCTAGCAGTTCTTTCTGTCATTGTTCCCTTCTGTACTATTCAGAGTCTCTAAAAATCGAAGGTATTCTTATGTTATTAGTATTTACCTCCAAAGCACTCACCACGTATGTTGGGGTCACTAAGTGGCGAAACTTTAGAAATACAATTTTTTTATAGATAGTTAGGACGTATTTCACGTATGAATTGAGACATACAGAATGTTCAGACTATTTGTTTAGGGTCCGTGCAGTTATCGTAACTGACGACATGGGTTTAGAGTCTTCTTGCAATGTTGCAGATGCAGTTACTCTTTGTCTTCGCTTAGATCCTGAGTTTTAAAGCCCATACTTTTTATTTCCGTGAATTAATTCTTTCCATTCTATTCAGATTGTTCATGCATAATGTTTTCTACTATCATTAATTATTCTTATTTTATAAATTTTAAGTAACTAGATTATATGTAATAATTGAATTCATGAGTCAATTGAAGCTAGACCATCATAGAAAACCTGGAAGCAGTGTTTTGGGATAGTAACTCACTTGAGACAATAGTGGACGGTAGCGCAAACTGGCAGATTGTTTGAAGTTAAATATAAACACCGCTGGATGCCGGCTTAGCGGTCTGTAGGTTAAGCGTCCGCGCGCAAGACTGATAGTCCCTGGGTTGGAATCCCTCGGGACAGGATATGCTTAGTTTCGTCTCACTGTTTGGAATTAATTCCATTTTATTATATTTCTAGTTCATTCATCATATGGAAGAAATCAAGATCAATGGTTTATTAATAGAAGGATTCAGCCTTTAATTGTGTTTAGGACTATATATATTTATATTCCTCTTATTATAAGCCTTTATTTGAACTACTAACCACTAATATCAGACTTGTTATCCTTAATTTTGTCCCAATCTATTAGTTACGGTCTCTTGACATAAGGAACACTTATTGGCTAATGATAGTTGATCTTCTGTTTGTAAGAGTTATCCGTTTGTACTACTGTGGAGGGAACTACTACTCGTACGTCTGAAATATGTCGTTCATACAGTGGAGTCGGATATTGTGTTCTGAACTCAGCGGGTTGGGTTAGACGAGTAGTTTCTTAAGAAGATCGGAGGAAATAAAGATTCAAAATTGACTCAAGGCTGCTAGTGCTAGTTGATGTGTCATTGGTTCAGCACAGAGCAGGGTCACAGAATTCGATATTCTTGTGGGAGGGTTTGCAAGAGAATAATTAACAGAGGCATAAATCATTGGTAGATTTCGGTTGATTATAGTTGCTATTGCAAAGCTTACATTCTCAAATTGTGAGGACTAATATAAAGTCATTCTATGAAAATAACTCAATCTTCACTTTGTGTTCCAAGCTACACCATAATCTTCAATTAATATGATTTTCCGTATTTGGAAACAAAATTACAAACTCTCTTAGTAAAATCTGAGAACCATACAATAAATAATTCATTTGCAAAATGTCAACCAATTGTCTTAGACTCGATTGTTCCTGTGCTTCCATACCAATCCTCTCTATTATTTCTTAATTATAAATAACGTTCTGCTTCCAGACGTTCTATTCCTGACTAGAGTTATATACTACTTATGTTGATTAAGTACCACACATCACACTAATAGGATAGATGACATCTCTGGTTGGTACTTAACTCATTTACCTTGTAGAAAGTATAAACTTGAATGTTAGTAAAATAAGTTTAGTTTTTAAAATATTTAATGTTTTCATCTTATTAACTCGGAACAATCATAAATCACTAATTCAAATATCTATGTCGGATATAGACAGGTATCTACTTCAGTACAATGGAAGATGGTCACGCAATTTCGTGGATTGGTTGATGTTAGACACTATCACCATTGGATGCCGGCTCAGTGGTCCAGTAGGTTGAGCGTTTGCGCGCGAAACCCTGAGGTCCTGGGTCCGAATCCCGCGGGCGGGATCGTGGATGTGCACTGCTGAGTCTCACAATAGGACAAAACGGCTGTCCAGTGCTTCCGGGTTTTCGATGGTGGTCTAACATCAATCGGTTCATGATCTCAATCAAGAAATTCTTAGAATTTGTATTAACTAAAATTATCATCTCTACAACTAGGTCTTCAAATGTTCAAGTATACCTATTGACTTCACTAGAAAAGTTCAAGGCAATAGTAGTAACTAAAAAAACCAACACAAGAAGTTCAACATAGATGGTTAACAACTTATTAATTGGTAAGATAGCGATATACCCAATGAACTAAATCTTTGACTTGGACATGTTTTGCTTAAGTAGATATTTTAAAAATTAAAACTTTAATCATTATCCATATACAAATTGTTCAACTATTCAGTTAGTGTTTCAATATATTATGTATTTTTGTGTTGATACAAGCCAAAAGTGTTTCTTAGTTACTACTGAGGTATGGCAACAGATATTATGTCATTCATCAGGTATTTGATTGTGAGCCATACATTAAGTCCTGGGTGAAGGGCTCAGAATCCATCACAATGGTGTAGGTGTATACACTCTTTGTCTTCCTTTAAACTATAAGAATAAAATCACTTCATAACTTTCTTCCTACCCACTAATTCTTTCTTCCTGTACTATATACTGATATGCAATCCTTCTTTTATACATTACCACAATTGACTGTGAGCGCTGGGATTTCACGGGCGGTGTTCCATATTGGGGTAGTTTTTTCGTATAGGGCCATTCCCCGAACCTTTGACTTAGAGGTCTATTCCATAAGGCAGTAGAGCAACGTTAGAAGATGAAGTCCCGTGGTAGCCGATGACCAACATTAGTTTTATACGCCATTTGTTCCCTCATGATCGTGGTGCTTATATGCATCACTGGTTTGTAATCAGGGTTTCCCGACTTTCCTCTATAGATCTTCCATATCCATTAACACGGTTAAATCATCAGACATTCGCTTTTTGTCCCTAAAAAATACAAAACATTTAATTAGAATGTTTTTCGAATATCTTCAAGGTTGAAAATTTAATTAAAAACACGATGTTTTGTAAATTCAGAGAGTATTATTTATGGTTGAACCAATCAGGTATAAGAGGTCTTAGATTTTGGCGCGAAATTCATACATCCATTTGATTAAATAGTTTGGGTAGTATAGCTGATATCAGTTCGTGATGAAAATCCAAAATTTAATTTTTAACTTTGACCATTAACTGTAATTGGCATTATAGCCAATGTCAGTTCGTGATGAAGAACTTAAGTCTAATTTCCTAACCTTAATCATCAACTGTAGATCATAATTCTAATTCCTCACACAGGTTTATAACTCTCATTTGATCCTAGTTATTCGGTGGACACTCTCAAGGTCAGCCTGGTGTTCAAATGTCATCCATAAATCATAGTCTTACCAGTAAATGAAACAACCATCATATCCTATTGTAGTTGGAAATTTTTCCATTTTTAACCGAATTAGGAGTCAGAATATTGTCAGAATAATAGCATAAGCAATTCGGAAGACTCAGTCTCGCACATTGTACGGGTATTCCATGTACCTGATGTGTGGGCCAGAATGATGATGATTGGTTGTTTACTTAGTCAGACATGTAGATAGTCTGACAGGTGTCAGGTGAGTTATATATTCCCTTATCCTTATTATCATTACTCACTTATTATTGATTGTTCATTATTGTTGGATTGTGTCGGGTTTTTGGTGTGGAAATATATTTACGTTGTGGTCAGGCTAATCACGTGTTCTTGATCTGAGTTGTGTTAACGTCCTATAGAATAGACATTGGCAAGGAATCTAGTGTAGATATTCGTCTAAGTTAAATTAACGTCTCATACGTGTAAACGTGTAAACCCAACCGTCACAACATTAGACGAAGTATAACTGAGTGTTATAACAGTACCTAAATTAATGGTTGCTATGGTTGTAAGTGTATATCTTGTTAGAATGATCATAGACCTCGCCTATTTACGGATTATTAACTTGTTCATTAGTATCTGTGTTTGTTTGTTTTTCATATTTTCCATCAATATCTAATCATCATAATTTGTTTTCAATTACATTACATGTTGCCAAATTGTAATCTTACATCCTACTGTTATGTGACAAAGTAATTTAGGTTATTAGATGTTGTCGGCTTAAAATTCACAACACTGACTCAAATTTACTCAGTTTACTGCCCTAATAAACTTCTGTATACTTGATACTAACCTATTTTTGTTCATTTAATCTTGATGACTCAAATGTTTTTGACGGATTTTTATTTAAGACAGTCACAAAGATTTACAACAAAATGGATTAATACGTATTCAGCTATAATATAGGAGAATAAGTCATCAAAGAAATCCATTTATAAGAGTTCATTTTAAAGTTGTACTATTTTATATAAATATGAAAATCCTGCT